CGAGAAAAATAAATTTCGAAAGAACATCGAGAAAGATTCTAGTCACATCCTACATAAATAATAATATCTATACTGTTCTTATTGGATCACCTTGAATGAAAGAAAAAAAAAGATACCATGAGAAAATCAAAATGACGTTTATTTGTATACTCTTTATGAGTAACATACTTTTTGTTATAAACTCTATATGATAATCTTAGAAAAAACGTTAGAAAAATTTTTCAGACAAGTTTCGAAGTTTTTTCATTATTCTCTTTTTCGTAGAGAAGAGTCCAACACAAATAAATCGTTTGCTTGTCTACCCGCGGGGTCAAAAAAAACATCGAAGATCGATTTTTCAGTCTTCAGTAAATGTGAAGAGGATACATTTCTACGAGAAAGAGCTAAGCGAGTCCTCAGACGAGCGTTATTTGTTTATTTTCAACGAGGAAAAGTGCACTTCTTCATATTGTTCCTATTGAAAACTATTCAAAAACGTACTCACTCATCTTTTATTTTAATTTATTGTACTAAAACAAAAATATTACGCTTTTCAAATGTTTTTAATTCAATGATTCTACGTTTTATTTTTAGAAAATATAGTTTAAAACTATCGTTCAATATCATATTGTTTTTATTAAACAAATCTACAAAAACGAATGGCAGAAAAATCAATTGAATATTTCATTTTCATCTTTATTTCATACCAATAAATTTATTTTATTAAACTTCTTAGTAATGTACACATAATCTCATCATACAAAATTTATGCTTAGATTTTGTTTTTAGAAATCAAATATATAAGTTTTAGTGTAGTATATTTGAAAAATTACAAGATTAGAAACAGAATTATCGATTTTAAATATTAGGAAAATTATTCAAACAATTATCATAATAAATTTCTATCGAAATAGTAATATTATTTACTAACCGGTCCGGTTTTTTGACGACCGGTACCGATACCGGTATAAAACTTTTAGACCGGACCGGCCGGTCGACCGGTAAATACCGGTAGACCGGTAAAAATCAGTAGTGTGAAAGTCGTTAAGTCGATTCGACTTGAACGGATGTTATACTAGATTTGACTGCTAACAACGTTTATATTTTATCCCCGTAGGGGGTACAAATAAATTTTCAGAAAAAAAATTATTTTGCGGGAAAAAAAAGTTTTTAGCAGAAAACAGGGCAGTAAGAAACCGGTAGACCGGCAGACCGGTAAATATCGGTAGAGTTACCGGTCTAAAGTTCGGACCGGGACCGGACCGGACCGGCCGGTTGCCGGTACCGGTTCCATCTCTGGTAGATTTAATCTTATCTCTTCAACTCAATTTCTATTAGATTATTTCAAATAAAGTTTTAGACAAAATCAAAAAATATATTGAATAAATGTGAATTTTATTATACATATATATGAAAAGATTTTATTGAATACACAATTCAATTACACATAGACATAGAAATTTAGAAGAGAAACTTTTTTTCGAATTATTTAGTTCATGAGAATAATATTTGAGTTTGAGCATTAGATGATAATGATATTATTGTTTTATGCAATATGCTTCTTTACCCTTACATATACCATGAGAAAAACCAAGTGGAAGGGGTTTTTGACAACATGATGTAACATCTCCATGTGGTTTACATTGATTATCGCAACCGTCATGACGAATCTCACGGTCACCAATAGCTAATCCAATAGCTAAAATATTTCAAATAGAATATTATTCATCTATTCGTAACAATATAAAACAAATACCTAATGTTAATAATGCAAATACGAATAAGAGACGATAGAATTGCATGATTTTAATTTCGAAGAATTTATTCAAATTAATTAACTAAATAAAAAACAAAAAAATTTAATTTGTTAATAGATATAGAAGAATACCTACTTACTTGAATTTGAAGTATATATGTTTGATATCATTTATATCTTCTCGTTTTATACATTTAATAAAACAAAGAATATTTATTTCGTCGAATAGATTAACGATAGAAAGAAAAGATATATCTAGATCAATATTCGTTCTCTTTCTTTCTTTGTTTGTTTAGACGCATTTGTATCTATTAGTTAAAAGAGACGAATCAAACATCGACGAGTAAAATGAATTTCTATACAGGCTAAATGATTAAATATAAGAAACGAAGGAGACGACATCAAGGGGTCGATGAAGATGGACAAATACACTTATCGATCCCTTCCCTCTTTTCTTTCCATGCTCTAGTTCAACTAACTAGCTACTGGGGGAGTTCATTAAAACAATTCCGAAGAATACCAGATCAATAGTTTACGAGATATATGAAAGATTAGACTTAAGTTTAAAACTGCATAAAAGGTTGTTTGTGTGAGTGTGATTATGTATACTCACATCAAACTATTGGTCTGATACTCTTAGGACAATTTTTAATGAACTTCCCAGTGGCTAATCAGTCAGACTTGATCACAAAAAAAGCTGGGGTCGATAAGGGTATTTTCTCCTGATGAAAATAAAAAAGAGAAAATATGAACATAAAATTCTAAATGGAGAATGTCTTTCACAGAAATTCTCTACTTCTAGAAAAAAAAATATTTAAATATTAATTCATATTTTTAACACATATTCATTAGCCAATAAGATTAAATTTGAATGTATAAAATCAGTTGTTAAAACTTAATTTCATCTCATTTACTATAATTTTGTTTGAAAAACAAACACTTTTTTTTAGTAAAAATTTCTATTTTATGACGTAATAATTTAATTCAAATTATTTGTTTGCATTTTGTTATTTATAGTTGTCGATCAAAAATAATTATATAACACGAGAATTTTATGAAATCAAATTCCATATGAATTTTGCTTTAGTTGATATTTGAAACGAAAATACAAATGCATATATAAGTAATTTGTAAAAGGAATTATTTTATTATATAATAGTACGATATACAATGATATTAAACTGCTATTATCATAATAAATACACGACTAACTTTTTTCGAGTTAGACATAGATTCTAAAAGCATAGATATAAACAAAATAGATAAAAGAAGACATTTATGAGTTTTAGTAGTATAGTATATATTTATCGAGATATTCTTTTTTTTCTGTTAACAATATGAGAGAGTAATGAAAGAAACTAATAATGAGTTTATGTGTTTATTTTTCATAACAAGTAACGCTCGTCCGAGGACTTGCTTAGCTCTTTCTCGTAAAAATCCATTTTCTTCACATTTAGTGGAAAAACAAATAAAAAATGTGAAAAAATTATTTTCGATGTTTTTTTGACCTTTGCGCTCCCTCCTCACTATGGTCACCCAAATGACCTCAAATTCGAAGTCCTCGCATCGAAATAGCTCTAGAAATATCTTTTCCTAAAAGTTGGTTTTCGATGTTTTTTTGACCCTGCGGACACACAGTCAATCAAGCAAGCCAACAATTTATTTCTGCTGGACTCTTCTCCACAAGAAAGAGAATATATGTTCAAAATAACAGCTCTTTTGAAGAATAGAAATTAATTTTTTAGTAATTATTTTATATGAATAATAGCAAAATTGTGCAGTGAAAATATTTTTTTCTAATTAACATAAATTTTTATAAAATCGTTAATATAAGTAATCATTCTGATATTTTTAAAAAAAAGTAAAATATCATTACAATATCAACTGAATATAATATTAATTCAATTTTGTCTTCTGATAAAATGTTTACATTTATCTGTAGATCTCACATATTTTACAGTTTAGAAATGCATTGATTAGAAAAAATAATTTATTCTAAATAAATATTTTCTAATTAGAAAATTGTTGTTTATCTTTTATGAAATCAAATAAAAATTTAGTTCTTAGAAAAGACTTTTTCTAATAAGAAAGTTTCGTAAATTTTCCTTTGTTCAAATCATTTGATTGATTGAACTGAATTTTATTCTTAATAATAATTCTAATAAATATTTTCAATTCATTAATGAATTAAATAGGGTATGGATAAGGAAATGACAGTACCATAATCAACTGACACTCAGACCTAAATCCCTTAAGATGGTTTAACTTTATCTTTCATACGTACAATGAATAAATTAATAGGAAAAAATTCGATTTTTTTATCTCTTTTCTAATATGGGTATTCCTTAAAAAGTTTTCACATAAGTCAATCTGATATTTTAAAAATTTGATATAAAGAAAAAAACGATTGGAGTATAATGAATCGATATGAAAGAAAAGCAAAAATCGACAAGCAAGTATACAAGTAAAAAGGAAGTGTTTATGTATACACATGTGCGCATAGGTAGTCGTTTACATCTATGAGTGAGTATTTTCTAAGGCCCAATTATAGAATTGTTTTGGAACATAAGTTTTATTCATTCTTCCCCGCGTGACAGTCATAGCGACTCTCTCAATCCTAACTGGATGATCATGAACGATTTTCTCAGTCACGTTACGTAAAGAAATCTAGTCTGATACAAATTTTTATCGCGAAACGGAAGCTGAACAAAATATATTAAATTCTTCTGCATAACTAGGTCTCGTAAATACTCAATTACTGGGAAATTACGATAACAGTCTGAGATTATGTTATGAAAATAAAGGATGATAGTTTATTACACATCATATTAGGAGATTGAGAATGCGGATGCATGTAAAATTTAGTATGTGAGATTGAAGTTGAACCTGATACCCACACATCATCTGAGTATAAATGTGTTTAAAACTGCATAGAACTACTCCATTTTTCTAAGCACATCTTCCCTATTCCTCTTTTTTTTATGAACTGACGTTCACATACCAGATTTCTTGTAAAAATCTATGTATGTAGTCAGTTTAAATAAAAAAACACATTTTACGTGTAATTATGAGAAGAATCTAATTCGAAATGCTTTATATTACATAGTCTAACTTCAATTAGAAAATGTATAATTTAAGTTTTATTCTTCGATGAGTCCTTAAAAAAAAGAAATATAGGAAAATCACATCAAGGAAAGTCACTATCGTACTCATGAAATTAGATCGTCTCTTTCAATCCTTTCATCATTCAATGTATTGTCTAGTTATAGATAAGCTACTCTCAAGACATGTGTCATTCACAATAATGTAAGCGAATCACTTTTAATAACTTTGATGTTCTTTTCTAAAGGGAATATACAAGATCTTTTTATATATCGTCAATGTCACTTGATCAATTCAAACAACTTCTAGAAATATTTTCTTTTTATATCTATCTCATTCTATCAAATCATGAATAAATACTTGATTACTAGTGAGAACTGTGACTTAACAATTGTACTTCTCTTTTATTTCTTCTTCTTCTCCTTCATAGCAGTTAATCTGTTAATATATTATCAATTGATAATTCAATGATTTAAATAAATCATCCGAAGCGGATTTCCCGTAGTTTTCCTTGAATACATAAATAGTTTGATATAAGATTACTTAAAGAGTACTCTCTCTATATATTATTTGTATTGTATTGTTAATACATTCAATATTGAAGAGTAGATTATGTAAATCATTAGAAATTTCTTTAAAAAATTTCTTCGATCGTGTGTGTTTTTTTCTTCTTCTTATATTGTAAATTGT